TTTTATTACATTTATTTATTGTGTGTGTGTGGCCAGCTCAGCCCACCAGGGGGCGGGGCTGGCTGGCATGTGGTGCTGGGGATCGAACCGCGGTCCCTGTGCTTTGCCAAACTTGTTTCAAGTAGGTGCTTTAGACCACTGAGCCATCTCTCCAGCCCCTCTAAGCACATTTATATGAAAACAATAAATTTGTGCTTTTAACTACATGTAATCTAATTTTGTTTTTTCCAGGAGGATCAGGATGGGAGTCAAGACCTGGGCAAGAGAAAGAGGGTAAAACTCAGCAGCGGTACCAAAGGTATTTATAGTTTGCTTTTTGTCTTTCAGCAGAATGATTCAAAAAATACAAAGAATTAGGAATACTGGATTCACTTGCCATAGTGCCATCAAAGCTGTTCGAAGAGATTTATGTTGTCAGATTTATCTAGTAATGGAGAAAGTGTAGTTAGGAGGTGGTTGTGAGTGCTTTGGAGGCAAGGATCACTGTTACGGGGATTTTGTTCACTGATTTCATTCATGAAATGTACACTATTGTATTTGAGCCATAATTACTGAGTTTTCTCATATGATTGATTCAGATCTAGTGTTTTTTTTTTTCCTTTTTTCGTTGAGACAGAGCCTCAGTCATCTAGGTTGGCTTTGAACTTACTGTGTATCCAAAGCTGGCCTCGAACTCATATCAATCAATCCTCCTGCCTCAGCCTCATGAGTGTTGGGATAATGGGCATGCACCCCCACGCCCAGCATCGATCTGGTGTTTTTTTCCCTCCCTTTTTTTTTTTTTTTAAATTGAGGATTGAATCTGGAACCTTGCACATGCCACTCAGGCTTATGCCACTAAGCTGTCTCCCTGGCCCCCCGAATCCCTTTTTTTTTTCCTGTTTGGTGCCTGCAGTTAAGCTTAGAACCTCATGCTTGACATTGTAGAGTACCAGCCAGATGTGCCACTGAACTATATCCCCAGTCCCATAGATCTAATGTTTTTGATGTACAGTTTTAGTTTGGCTTATGCCCTTTTATAATCTGGAGGTTTGCAATTTCTACAGTAGAAAAAGAACAAGGGAAAGAAAGTGGGGAGGCAGAGACATTATGGCATGAGTGAGTAGCATTTAGCACGTAGTAAGGGCTCACAAGGGACTCATAGATGCCTTGTCAAAGGAGCTGCTATAGTAAAACAGATTAGTAATCACAGTGGGTCCTTTGTATTGAACCTTTTGTAGATGCTAGATAGATTGATGCACTTCCCTGCGTAATTTGATAGAGTGACCATAAGAAAGCAGGCTTAATTATTAATACTTTCTAAATGGGGAAGTAGAGATATGTTAGCGCTCACAGCTTATGAGTAGTTGCTTAATTCAAATCGAGGAATTCTTAACTACTGTATTTCTTAACTCTCTAAAAGCTTTTCTAAAGTACTTATTATTAGTTGGCAGCATGTGCTACAGATATTTGCCATGGATTTCCACCATGATCTGTTTTCTGGGTTAGTGTTGTCTGTCAGAGAATCTGTGATGCCTAAAGAACATCAGAAGCATAGGGCTGCCTGGTGCTTTGACTTGCCCAAGTGCCCATTATTTACCTGAGTCCTGTGATGCCTCTGAAGTTGGAGCAGATTATCAGACACTTGAATTTAAGCCAACAACTATTTGATGTGGGGCAGGAGGTCATTGATTTCCTTCATCCTTGTCACACACTGGAGAGCTTTTTATGCAGGTAGCAGTTAGCTTTAAGTATATATACATGGAAGAAATAGCTTTTTTTTTTGAGAACTGGGGATTGAGCTCAGGCCCTTGCGCTTGCCAGGCAAGTGCTTATTGTACTGAGCCATCTCCCCAGCCCCAGAAATGGCTTTTTGAATTAGAGCCTGAGAAGCTCTAGTAAGCTAGTGATACAGAGCTTAGAGTCTGCTTTTTAATGAAAACTTTTGTGTTTGTCATACATTTATACAACATAATGATTCTTTGAATATCATTACGAAGTCACAAGATTTTAAAGATAGTCACACATAAATAATGGAAACATTTCTAACTACATTTTCATCATTTTACATATAAAGCACATGACACATGTTTTTTTTT